AGGAGAGGCCCCGGGGTGACGGTAGAGAGGTTTCTGTCGGACGTAGCTAGGTCCCTGTACCCGGACAACACTCTGCTGAGCCGGTGCTTCAGGTCCTGCGTCTACCCGGCGCCGGAAGAGGTGGCAGCCCTCCACGATTTGTTGCCGACACGGCTGCACCGCCTGACGAGACTGCAGGTCCGTTACGGCACAAGGATCACGATTCCGGGGATGCTGTTGCAACAGTCCATTCTGAGCGCGGCGGCAGGCGACAGGTGGGCGAAGGAGTTCCACTTCGAGTGCAGGAAGGGCGATGGGACAGTGATAGAGGTCCTCCATAAGCTCGCACCGCTGTCGGAGAGAGCGAGACCGGTCTTCGCTGCGATGAAGTGGCCCGCGAGAGATTCGGACACGTCGGGTGACGGGGCGCGCTTCAACAAGTGTGGTAGCTGTGGCATGAGGAGCCACCGCAAGAAAGACTGCCCCCACGGCAATGACAGGTGCACTAAGTGCGGCCGGAAAGGGCACTGGGCAAGGATGTGCCCGAGGCACTACCTCACAGATGAGGACTCAGGACTGAAGGCGTTCGCGGGGGTAGGAGAAGGCAAAGCAGTGCTGAATGTCCGTGGAGCTAGAACCAGGACCGACTACCTGAAGGCGGTGCAGAAGTTCGTAGACTAGGAGCTGAGCGCCGACAAGAAAAAGAAGGACCAGCCGACACCGGGAGAGGACGTCGGCATGCCAGTGGCCGCGGTCGAGAAGGTAGTGCAGAGTGAGGGTCCAGGGGGCGCGAAATGTTGTCATGAGCTGACAGAGGACATGACGCTGGGGCCACGAGTCGCGGGAACCGTAACTGGAGGGTCGAGTAACGGCCGAAATTTTCGGTAAGGGCCCTCGCGAAGGGGGCCGAGATTGAGTTCCAGCAGGATGCGGGCGCAGAGGTAAGCCTGCTGAGGAGAGAGGATTGCAGTCGCGCTGGCGTAAGAATGTCGCAGCGCCGACAGCAAGTAAGCACAGTGTTGGGTTCAGGATCACTACCCGTGACTGAGCCAGTACCGAACAGTGCGCGGCGAGACGGACGAAGTAGAATTTGCAGTACATGACCAATTATCGGTCCCGAACCTCCTGGGGAGGGTAGAGTTCGAACGGTTTGGTTTGGTGGAGAGAAGGTCCTGACGGGAAGGCGTTGGTCCTGGCGGCGCAGAGAGGCGCGGTTGATGAGATACGG